CTATGGCATGAGTGCACTGCCGGGCTGGCAGTGTTCAGCAGAAAGACTCTCTAGGGTCTAGCTGACATTCCCACACAGTAGACACTCCTAAATATTCGTGAGATGACTAAATTAATGACACTTTGGGTAATAAAGGATGAGTTCTTGGCTTCTCAGTAAAATAAAAACGTGACAGTAACTTCAGTAGGGCAAGGAGTGATAAGAGGTCAAATGACCAATTACACAGTGAACGTGCAGCCACCTTGGGGTTCTTCATACAAGGCTCACTTCTAAGACTGGTGCCCAGGTAGGATTGTGTACGTAAAGCCAACATCTCAGTTAAAGACGTGCTTGTTCACTGGGACCCAATGCTCAGGAAGCAGCAGGGTCCAGGGTGAGGCTTCTTACCTCCAGTTTAAATGAAGAATTTCTGAGCACAAGCTTTCAGGTCATTCTCTGAGCTGTCAGAGGTGGTAAAACTTTGACAATATTTAAGAGTAACTGTCACTCTAAAAGGTTTGCTCTTGGTTTGGAAGGCAAGAGGCTTCCTCTCTGGCTTGGTATGAACACTCAGCCTGGGATAGGAGAAGCCTCCTCCTGAAATCATCAAGACAGAAAAGCAAAGAGGAAGGGCTGGAGGGAATGGGTTACGGAATACTCCACCACAGATCTGAAACCAGACCTGAAAATACTATGATCAGTAAAATAAACCGGACAAGAGATCTAATGTTCCTGTCAAAAACACCAAGCAGAAGTCCTCAGACTCGCTTTACAGGTAATCCTAGCATAGCTTTCTGTAGCTTTAAGCTTCTATTGACAGGTCCACAACAGACTCCCCCCACCACCTCACCAGTTCTCACCATACCAATACCACAGTTGGGAAGATGGTTCCAGCTTCAGGACAAAGAAGTCCTTTACACAACCAAATGCCATTGCACCCAAACAGTGTCCCATCCAAACAAGCCTGGGCGCCAGCTCACAAACATAGCTATGGTACTAACCTTTTAACTTCTTCAACTCTTGGAAGAAATCCTCATTCTCATGGACTGTATTATAATAAAGAGAAGCGAAACATTAAGAATAGGCTTGAGACCAAAAATGTGGTCTGTGGAGAAGAAAGGATTTGGGATTTCTTTTTTCGCTCCCCAAATCTGGGTGCACTAAGCATCTTAAAACTCTTCTGTTTTTTAGATGAAAAAGAAATTGCTATTCTCTGCAAGCATTTTCCCACTGCTTTGCTGACCCTCAGCACAGCAGTCCAGAGGTGGCGGTGTGTGAGATCTTGAGAGTGAAATCTATTAGAGCGTGAAAGGAGGGGAAATGACCTAGCAACTTCCACAGGGGGCCAGCCTCAGGAAATAGGAGAAGGAGCAAACACCACAACAGGTGAGAAAGAAATCACAGCCCCACAAATGCATGATAATGATGAGTGATGAGCTGTCACCGGCATTTTGATTAAACATGTTTGCCTTTATGATTTCACGTAAAGCCTCTCCAAAATTCATCTTCTGTACAATTTTTGCATCTTGTAGGGGACCAGGAAAAATCATGAGGATGCTTACTAAACATTTATTTAGAGGACAAATGATATGTGCTGGCTGCCCATAAATGGATGAACAGCCCCTCCACTTTCCTTGGTCCGCTCTGGCAGTGCTCACAGGAAGGTGGGATATGAATGGGGTTGGATGCTCATCTGAAAATGGAAGCCCAGCTATGGGGTGGTTCTGTGGACCTTTGTAGAAAATCTTCCAGACTCTTTGAGCTGTTTAAGCTGAAAGTGGACTTTGCCTCTCCTGTGTCCACGTCCAGTGCCTTGTAAGTGAAAGCACTCACTCACGATTGCTGTGTTGAAAGCAGTCTCTGAAAGTCATGATCAGGGCTCGGC